GGGGGGCTCTGGGGCCTCGGCGCTGGGCTCTGTGGGGCTGGGGGCCTCTTCCTCTGCAGCTGGGGAGGAGAGGACGGGTGAGCAGGGACTGGGAAGGAGGTGACATGGCAGCTTCCAGGGCTCCTGAGCCCAGTTCAGAGACGCTCCCTGAGGACCAGTGGCCCTGTCACCTGACAGCAACCAACAAGCTCCCGTGTCCCAGCTGAGGGGACCTGGACAGCACAGCAAAGGCTTCGACAGCCCGGCTGCCCAGGAGCTCAGGCCAGCCTCAGGGATGGAAAATGGGCCATAGCCTTGACCCTGGCAGGATAGGGTACCAACCAACCAGGGCCTGCTCCCCACTCATGTCACCAAGGGGCTGAGGGCCACCTCTCCTTGAGTTGTCCCTGAGTACTGCTCTGTCCACTCACCCGTCACCCCGACAGCAGACACGGGGCCCGCACGCTGGCCACTGTGGATGCCATACAGGTTCAGCTTGTACTTGTGGTCTGGCTCCAGGCCGGGGATGGTCACCTGGTCCTCGTGTCCTGGCACCCGCACCACCTTGGGCTGCCCGTCCCCGTTCCTGTACTGGATCAGGAAGTGGTCAAACTGTCCCTGGGGGACGGTCCAGGAGAGGCCCAGGGAGTCTGGGGTGGCACCCGTCACGGTCAGCTCTCCCAGGAGTGGCTCCTTGGGGGGCTCTGGGGCCTCGGTGCTGGGCTCTGTGGGGCTGGTGGCCTCTTCCTCTGAAGCTGGGGAGGAGATGGGCGGGTGAGCAGGGCCTGGGAAGGAGGTGACACGCAGCTTCCAGGGCTCCTGAGCTCAGTTCAGAGACGCTCCCTGAGGACCAGTGTCCCTGTCATCTGACAGACAGCCACCGGGTCCCAGCTCCCGGGTCAGCTGAGGGGACATTCAGCACAGCACAGCACAGGCCTCTATGGCCCTGCTGCCCAGGGAGACTGGCCAGCCCCAGGGGAAGGCACACAAAGCAAGTCTACTGGGCTGAGCAGACCTGGGTCCTAACCACACCCCGCCACGGACCCCTACGCACCTGCCAACAGAAAGTCTGAGGGTTTACCTTCTGCTGTGTCCAACATGGGGTGTCCCCGAGTCCACTCACCCGTCACCCCGACAGCGGACACGGGGCCCGCACGCTGGCCACTGTGGATGCCATACAGGTTCAGCTTGTACTTGTGGTCTGGCTCCAGGCCGGGGATGGTCACCTGGTCCTCGTGCCCTGGCACCCGCACCACCTTGGGCTGCCCGTCCCCGTTCCTGTACTGGATCAGGAAGTGGTCAAACTGTCCCTGGGGGACGGTCCAGGAGAGGCTCAGGGAGTCTGGGGTGGCACCCGTCACGGTCAGCTCTCCCAGGTGTGGCTTCTCTGGAGGAGGCTCAGAGGTCATGGTGGGCGCCTCCTGTGTGGTCACAGCTTCCTGCTCTGGATCTGGAGACACAGGGATGGGTTATGGCTTCCCTGTCCTCAGCTCCCATGTAAAGGCATTTCTAAAGACAAAGCCCTGCCGAGCAGAAGGGCACTGGCCACAGAGGGCACAGCTCGTCTTTCCCATGACTTCCACACTGCCATGTTTTGCGCCCCACCTAGGCGTTCCCCTCCTCCATCCACCAACACCCCCCACACAGCTTTGCCCTGCCTCTAGCACCTGCCAGGTGTGAGCACACCCCACGAGGCCACTTCCCCGGACCTCCCTGCCCTGGCTTCTCCTTGCTGGCTCCCCCCTCACCGGGTTCAGGGCTTTGCTCCCAACAGTCTTGGAATAGCACAGAAACCTCAGCCCCCCCTCCCCCCGATGCCATCACTCCAGATGGTGGGCAATCAGATGGCTCTGGCCGGGGACAGCTGGAAGTTGGCTCCACAGCACCCACACCAGGGCTCGAGGTTCTTTGTGGAATGAATGAATTGATACATAGGACTAAAAACCTAAAACTGCAACGTACATACATATGTGCCAGGCATGATGGCGCACGCCTTTAATCCCAGCACTTGACAGAGGCAGGTAGATCTCTGAGTTTTAGGCAGCCTGGTCTATAGAGCAAGTTCCAGGACAGCCAGGGCTACACAGAGAAACCCTTTCTTGAAAACCAAACTGATACAGAGTTAATAAAATGTAACTAATAATAAAAATTAAATTAAATTAAAAAAAAAAAAAGAAAACCAAACTGAAAAAAATAAAACAAATGAGGTGGGTTTCTAGCTACAGAGTGAAAACCCTAGTCTCTTTGCTGTTCCCTCTCTGGCTGGGCGTATCCCACAAAGGCAGAGCCTCTGCAAGGCATCTTAGGCCAGCACAGGCTCAGCACCAAATCCCAAGGCTGATGCCTCTGGTGTGGGTCTTTTTACCAGCAGCTGGATTCTTAGGATCCTGTTAGAAACAGGATCTCAGGCTCTAGATGTGTGCAGGGTCTGAGTCAGATTCCGGAAAGATGGTGTGTACTTGTTTTCTCTTAACGGAAACATCCTCGCCAAGTCTGCCTCAGGAAACTCCCAAAGCTTACAGGCCTCAGCATGGTTACAGAAGCATAACAACGGCAGAGAGGAGAAAACCTCCCAGGAGGCGCAAGCTGCACAGGAGCTCCAGGTGGAGCTAGGCTTGCAGTGAGCTCTCTTCACTCCCATGTCACCATATTCCCAAAGGTGATCCCAGTGGACACCTTGGTTCGCTAAGCTAGACATGGGTAGAGCTGTTTCTTGGGTCTGTTTTCCGTGCCTCATTTGGCATGCATAGATGTTCAGGCCTCCTCAGGAAAGCCAACCAACACAATTGGTGCTGGGGTACGGACCAACAGACCCAAAGGTGATTCGGGGAGCCGTGGGTGTGTGGTCACAGCTGAGGTATGTGACTAGGAGCTGCAGGGCTGGCCCCCGACCCCGCCACCTCCTCCACGTGCTGTGGGACAGTGAACCTTCTCGCTGTAATGACTGCGTGCTCTCTGCTGCAGGAGATAGGGCATGCAGCCAAAGCTAGAAGGATGTCTCCAAGACGGCGAACGGACTGGCAGATGCAGCGCAGTTCCTTAAAAGTAAGACACACGGACAAGATGGGAAGCAAGTCAGGGTGTCAGCTGCGAGGTCTTTGTGTGGCAAGGATGCGAAACGGCCTTCTCAGAAAGCGCCTGCCCATACAGAGAGGAAGTGCAGTGGGGAAAGTCCCGGGCTGCTCTCTGATCCTTAGCCTCTCCTTGGCGCCAGGGTAAGTAGAGGAAAGTCGATGAGAGGGAGGTATTAGCAGCTGTTGCCCGACACGGGGTGAAGAGGGTGAAGGTCAAATACAGGCTAAAGAGCCTGTGCTAGAACACAAATTCCTGGAACCCCTGCGAGGAACAGGATGAGGAAGGGGGAGGGAAGGACAGGAGCCGAGCCGACAGAGCTTAGGTCCGGCCGGGAGGGGAGGAAGGGAGAAACCGTGATTGGATATGCAGCAGTAATGACTGGGTTAGGGAACTATGGCGTCCGGGAACGCTCAGCACTGGACAGCTTGCAAAGACTTAAATTGAAAACAATGAAAGAGCCTCCAACAACCTCGGCTTGTGTAGCTGTGAAATAGAGGCAGATGGGATTAATCTGAGTGGAGATGGAGAAACTGAGAATCCTAACAGCTCATCCCTCCTCGAGACGAAGGCTGCCTGACCCAGGGCAAAATGGGGAAAATCAATCCTTGATGAAATGGCTCATAGGAGCCAACAGAACGCTTAGTCCCCACAAACATGGGGGCTTGGAGGCAGCAGCGGGGAGAAGGCATTGCTGGAGGCAGCGGGAAGAGAGGTGGCTCTGGTGCCCAGTTCATCAAGTCAGATATTCCAGGAAGGATAAAAGAGAGAGCTTCAGCCGGACTCGAGGGCACACGCCGTGAATGCCGGCCCTGCAGAAGCAGAGGCAGGTGGCTTTCTGTGAGTGTGGGGCTTGTCTGGACTATCTAGCAAGCTCTAGGCTAGCCAGAGCTCCACAGGGCTTCAGCGGCTTGCTGGGTCCCAGGAGGGGAAGTCAGACTCTGGGAGCTCAGGACGACTGAACGGCACGTAAACTGTCTTCATAAACTGCAGAAGCAGGTGAGAAGGAATGAAAGAGAGGCAAGGCAGACCGAAAGATCTGCTCTGGCCACTCAGAGGAACAACTGCCCAGGCTAGTGTGTGGACGTGGCCACATGAGCGAGCTTCGGATAGAGCTGACACCCGAACAGCAGTTCTCGGGAGACAGAGGTGATAGGGCAGAGCAGACTTACAGCGTTAAACTTGACCTGGGGGTGGGCGATCACCCCCTCCCCTCGAGCATTCCGCAACATCTCTCCCCTGCAAGAGCGTGTGGATCTGTGCTGGGGACAGAGATTGTTTAAGTGGCCCAGGGACCCTGCGCTAGCCATCCTATCAGCACACGAGGCTGATGAAAAGACAAGGGTCGGGGCTGGAGAGGTGGCTCAGTGGTTAAGAGCACTGGCTGCTCTTCCAGAGGTCCTGAGTTCAAGTCCCAGCAACCACATGGTGGCTCACAACCATCTGTAATGGAATCTGAGTTCCTCTTCTGGTGTGTGTGAAAACAGAGCATTTAAATAAATAAATAAATCTTTAAAAAACAAAACAAAACAAACAAACAAAAAAGAAAAGACAAGGGTCATGGCGGCCTGGAGCCCGTGAGAACTGGGGACCCAGCTCCAACAGCAGGCATGGGGGGTTATTGCACAGCTATGGGCCTGGCTTGGTCTTCCAAGGCCATCAAAGGCAAAAAGATACACAGTGGCCTTAAAGCAACAGTACCCTGTGGTGAGGAGGACACTTTATGAGAATCACCTATGTGCCCTGGAAGGCCAGACAGAGCAAGGAGCTCCTTCCCTCTGTGACACTGTTCTTTTTGTTCTGTTCTGTGGTTTTTTCAGACAGGGTTTCTCTGCGTAGCCCTGGCTGTCCTGGACTCACTTTGTAGACAAGGCTGGCCTGGAACTCACAGAGATCCGCCTGCCTCTGCCTCCTGAGTGCTGGGATTACAGGAGTGCGCCACCACACCTGGCTTATAGGCGACTGTTCTTAATGCTCCTCCTGATAAAACAACTGAGGAAGATGATGAGCTCTTTTGGTACTGGATTGAGCTTTGGCTCTGTTTCTTTACTAGTAGAACCCTGGCTGCTGGAATCCAAGACCGATTTGCATTCGTGTGAGATGGCCAACAGCGGGAAGAGACCATCTTTATTGGCCTCCTGTTTGTCATGGGATGGGTCTGGGCCCCTGCATTGTCATTCTGTCCACCTCTAGGGAAGCATTCGATTACACAGACGACATCGTAGTAGCCTCTAAACATTTTAAATACCTGCAAAATCATCTCAAGAGCGGGAAGGTCATGCCCTGAAGAGGCGAAGGAAGGTGTCCCCCCCAAGGGGGAAAGAGCACTGCCACAAGCTACCAGGCTGCTGAGTGAATCCCAATGTGAGGAGCTGGCTACCTTCCTATGCGGTGTTGGCTATGGAGGCCCCAAAGTCCAGGCTACGTAAAATGCTGCTGCTTACAGCAGCAAACCAGCTAGTAAGCCCCTGAAGACACAGCACAGGTGTGCAGGACCTGGGGAACTGGACTGAGACTGAACTGAAGGTCCCACTGCTCGTCTGTGTTTCTATTACCGACAAGCACCATGAAGTTGTCTCCAGCAGTCCTGCTTGGCCGTGGACCAATGCGGGCAAGGTGGACCCCCTGGACAATGGCAGCACAGCTGCTACGAGGACAATTAGACCTAAGGTCTGCTCCACAGGAGGGGATATATACCTCACACTGTAAACCGGGGAAAAAGCCCGTGGCTGGAGAAGACACAGGCCCCAACAGGAGGCAACTGCTATTGCCTTGTTAAACGGACACAATCTACCTATCAAATCGCCTTTTAAAATTCGTGTCTGCACCCATGGATTATGGCTGATAGTAACACCAGCTAATCATGGCAGGAAACTCATTTCTTGTTGGGATAATGTCTTCACACACTGTGTAAAGATGGGCTCTGGGTTATTCAAATGCTGATTTCTGTGCCAGCTGCAGATCCGATTCAGGTCAAACTTTGCAACTGTCATTTTTATGAAGCAGTCCCCTGTCTCAATGTTTTGTAAACATTGTTCTCTGTCACCTTCTGATTGGTCAAATAAAGAGCTGAACAGCCTATATTTGGGCAGGAGGGTTAAGGCAGGACTTCCAGGCCCAGGGGAGTGGTCTCAAGGGAGGGGAGTTGCCATTGGAACGCAGATGAAGAAGGAGGTGTTGGGGTGACACCAGGACGGCAGATAATGGACCACGTGGCTGGAAGTAGGACAGTAGGATGGGCCAGGATTGTCAGCTTAGAACAGCTGAGTATCTGCCTGAAGCTTATAAATAAAATTAACAGGTCTCTATGTCATTATTCGGGAGCTAGGGCAGGCACAGGGAAAAAAAACTTTCCTTTTACAGTTTCTTGCAGTTAGAGGTATACTTCGGGGACTAACTGGTGAAGTTGCTGAAACTCACGAGTGGTTGCTGTGTCATAATGCCTAACACTCAGCAGTAGATTTAAAAAATAATGGAATATTTCTATCCCCTACTCTCAAGACTTAGGAGACACTGAAGAAAAATGGGGAAAAAATGTAAAAGCCAGAGGAAGGAGCACAGCACTGTCTAGCTATTCCCTCAGAAATGAAACATCCCTATTAGAGGAGCGCCCATTAGAGCTCAGGAAGTGGCTAGGTGTGGTGGCCTGTCTGTGCCTTTAGTTCTAGCACTTGAGAGGCAGAGGTAGACAGATCTCTGTGAGCTCCAGGTAAGCCTGGTCTAAGAGTAAGTTCCAGGACAGCCATGGCTATGTGGAAAGACCCTGTCTCAAAAACAAAACAAAGCAACATATCTGGAAAGCAAACAAACCTTCAAAGTCTCAAGAAGTAAACTCACCATTCTCAGGAAGCTCCCACAACATGTAAAATCCACAGAGTCTGTGACAACATTGACGGCTAAGCGGTAGCAATTACCCATGGGAGAGCTGGAGAATGCGCCAAGGATGGAGCTGTTTTGAGACCTTTGTCCATGCTCAGTTTCTCTTTTATGCACTACAGCCGCATGTGGGCCATCCATGTTTTCCAGGTAACCCTTCACTTACGCTCTTATAAGCTAACCTGATTCGGTAGGCCAGGCGTGTGCGGAAGCCCCTGCTTGTTGTCGGTGTCCGATCTGGCTATGGATCCCCAGGAAAAGTGACGTGCTCACAGAACCTGGCTTGTGGCAGGATATTTGATCCCATTGTGAGCCCCGAGATTCGAAGTGTAAAAACCCGTCTTCTGTTTGGTGTGGCTCAGCCCTACCACACACCTTTAATCCAGGAACTTTCTGTTTGTTGTAAACCAGTGATTACGGTGTGGCTCAGCCCTAGCTTAAATCCGAGAGCTTTCTGTACACAGGATTTAATAAAGTTAAGCCTAGGTCAAGAGGTGGAGCAAGAAACCAGCTGACGCAGATTAATAGGAAGGAGGAATTTTGAGAGAAGAGTATTTAAAACAGCACAGAGAAGAAGATGCATGCTTTAGTTCTCTAGCTCTTGGACTTTTAGCTATTGGTTTTTCCTCCTAGGTTGGTTAGCTAGCAGGCCTTTTCCTCAGCCATTAGTTGAGCTAGCAAGCTTTTAGCTTTGGGCTTTTGGCCTTTTCCTTCTGGGACGTGAGCTGAGTAGGAAGGTCAGCTGGGTGTTTTCCTCTGCCTCTGAGCTAGCCGGTTTTCACCCCTGCCTCTGGCTCCCAAGTCTTCACTGGTAATACATAATAGTTGGGATTTTTTTTTTTTTTTTTAAAATAACAAGAGAACAAGTGTTACCACAAAGATGGCAGAAAAGGGAATAAGAATAAGTAATCTACGGGGCTGGAGCGTTGGCTCAGCAGTTAACAGCCCTTAGTATTCTTGCAAAGGTCCTGGGCTCCATTCCCAGCACCCATATGGAGGCTCACCACTTCCTCAAGCACATATGTGGTACACAGTCAAATGTGGAGGCAAAACATTCATACAAATAAATCTCAAAACCATTTTTAAAAAGATTGGGGGGCAGGAGAGATGGCTCAGAGGTAAACAGCCCTGGCTGCTCTTCTAGAGGTCCTGAGTTCAATTCCCAGCATCCACATGGTGGCTCACAACCATCTATATTGAGATCTGCTGCCCTCTTCTGGCCTGCAGGTGAACATGCAGGCAGATTCTGTATACATAATAAATAAGTAAATCTTTTTAAAAAGGGGGGGGGGGGGGGTCATTCCACAGAGACCCATCTGACATCCACTCACCGGTCACGCCCACGGCGGACACGGGGCCCGCGCGCTGACCCCCGTGGAGCCCGTACAGGTTCATCTTGTACTTGCGTCCAGGCTCCAGCTCGGTCACGGTCGTCTCCCTCTCCCGGCCCCCGACACGCACCACCTGGGGCCGCCCATCGCTGTCCTTGTACTGGACAGTGAAGGAGTCAAAGTGTCCCTGGGGGACGGTCCAGGAGAGGCTCAGGGAGCGCGGGGAGGAGCCCGTCACGGTCAGCTCTCCCAGGAGCGGCTCCTCGGGGGGGCTCTGGGGCCTCGGCGCTGGGCTCTGTGGGGCTGGGGGCCTCTTCCTCTGCAGCTGGGGAGGAGAGGA